GTTTCAGTTACTGTCTATCTCGATCACACCCTGCGCGGGTCATCTTGCGCCCGGTGCAGTCACTCTTCTCTACTCCTTGGCTCTTTTAGTTTCCAATCCAATGGATCTTCAACTTTCAACTCTTCACTTAATACCTGCACAAAAAATGAGGTGTATTAAGGTATTGTTAGATGAAATTGGGCTAGCTATATCTGCATACAAAATGAATCAAAAAGAGAACAATTATCTTGCAATGGTGCAAAGGATGAGTGGAATTGTTCAATAAGCCTTATCCAAAAAGAAGTATAATTGAGACTTAACAACAATCAAGAATCAAAACATGACTAGGGGTCAATAAAAATAGGGCGTCCCACACAAATGCTACAAAAATGAAGGCCTGGCAGGAAACCCACTAAAGGGGCTACTCAAAATTAGGGAAAAATCCACTATGGGACCCACAATCAAAAAATGTGACCTAGGCAAAAGTAAGGATCAAAAGAAAAATGTCTGCTAGGAAACACATCCTGAGTGACCTAGGCAAAAGTTAAGACGTTAAAGCAGCAACTTGAGTTAAAAACTGAAAGGCAGCTCAGGGGAATCATTCAATCAGAGTGCGACCCCAAGTCATCACTCCACTTTCCAGAAAGGCTAAAATACAATGATAGCTTCCTTGCAACAAATACGTTTTGTTTAATAACCCTAAACACTAAAGCCTACCTTGGCCAGCCCTTCTTCTAAAAAAAGCCCTTTTTGAAAAATCCCTTCTAACAATCCTTTTGAAAAAAACTAATAATAATAATAATAACATTTCTTCCTTCTTTTCTCTTAACCCTTATGGCATTAAAATGGTACTGAAAAGATACACAGAAAATGCACAATGAACACTCACAAAGAGAAGACAGAGATGTCCCTGAACAGAGTTTGGAGACACTTGACTACACATCGACTAGATAATCAAAGAGCTACTTAAACCTTGGGTTAAAGGAGTATATCCCAGCAATAATCACAAACGGCACGGATAAACAAGAATCGTCAACATTAACCTTAACTCGCACAGGTTAATTTCCCAACAAAAAAATTGAATTGCATGTTTAGGAACAAACGCATGAGCATAAACTGCATCGCATGCATATGAGGTAAAGGCATATGGAAGGGCGTTACACAAAAAAAAAATAATAAAATCACCCCTGTCTTGCATTTTCATTGCATCCATGCATCCATACATTTTGCTTGCTATGAGTCAGAAGGAGTCATCAGAACGAAGCACAAGCTAAATAGTAACCATGAGCCAAGCAGTGGAAAACGGTAACCCCAAGTGATTCTATGTGCCCACTAAGCAAAAACATATTAATAGTGGAATAGAATAAAATCGACCAAAAAAGCAAGTCTGTAAGCATGAAGAGGCCATCGCGCCTTACTCCTCAACTAAATAAAGGATGATCCAAAAAATGCCAAGACCAGGAATGACTTCCTAACCAAAGCCAGGAGTGGCTTCCAAAAAAATACTCCTCAATAAAGATCCAGCAAATAACATCATGGGAATAGATCCTTCCACCAATGATGACAATAAAAAAGTAAAAACAACATGATAAAAAGGCAAGCTTCACAAATGTTGAAAAATCCGAAGCATTTAGAGAAATAGCAAAAAAGGCAAGCTTCAAACATGAAAGAGCCGAAGCTAAACAAAAAAATGAAATTCAGAAAGAAACCTACCACAAGCAGGCGCCTGGAGAGGCATCACAATACTCACATGGCAGGGGCAGTACCAGAA